TTCCCCTCCTCCTCCTCCGCCGCCTCCTCTTCTCCTCTCCTCCTCCTCCTCCGACCCTCACGCTCCTCCCCTGCTCCCCAGCCTGCAATTACTCCGGTGGAAACGGCCTGCTCCGTCCGCCCCTTCTCCGCTGGTCACCCCCGGCCTAACGTCGCGGCAGGCGGCGATGCAGGGCTGCGCCACCTACCCTGGAACCTTCCCTTCCCTGGGGGCGCAAACCCGGGAGGATCAGCAGGTAGCGCGGCCTCCAGCCACAGCGTGACTGACGGGCAGCCGCCCTCCCAACTCTAGAAGTTAAGTATCCATTGCTGTCCTGGGACCTGAGGCCAGGAAAGCAGGCCCGAGACGAGGGCCACGGTTCTGAGGGGAGCCATTGTCAGCCAGAGGGAGCACAGATCTAGCGGGGAAGCGCTGGAGATGGGCGTGGGCGGCAAACGGAGAGCAGGGAGCCGCACCCCGGGGGTTTAGTCCTGCACCCTTAAACTGTTTCTGGAGAAACCCCAGAAATAAATAAGTAAATGCAAGCAAGCTTTCCAGACCTTAAGTTGACCAGACATGAAGACGAATAGGACAATAGAACGAGCTATGTCACTTTGCAGAAACACTCAGCCAAAAAATCCCACACACGGTGCAGACTCCACTCTATTTGAGAAGCTGGGAGCTCTGAGATGCTTACTTCCTCTCTGTGCTGCTATCTCATAAGAGGGAAGACACTTAACAGAGGATGAAAGTAATTTATTTGCCTTCTATTACTCTGTACTTGGACCCACCTTTTGAAACAAGCCTTGTATTTTATTGAGTCCTAGATTGCTTAGAAAACGAAGTGCCTTGCAAAACGAAAGCCCCACACAGAAGATCAAGAAACAGGCTTATCTCGAGGAAGGTGGGCATGGGCTGCAGAGTACACTGCAGGATGTGGGAGTCTGAGCTACCATATGCTTGGTCAGGCATTCATGCCGGCTAGTTTCTGTAATCAAAGGCCAACCACAGCACCACTGAGTGCCCCTCAAAAGGGTTAAAACTGAAAGTCCTGGGTTCAGCCAAATGTGCTTTTCTACTAATACACCTATGTTCAGAAGGTAACAGTGAGAGAAAACGGGATCACTAAATAGGCAGTAAATATGGTCTCCTAATACCAGATGCCCAAGGGGTCTAATGGTCACTGAAATTTAACATTATTGTTGTATTTTTTAAATCATCTCAAATAATGACCAGGTTCATCATCTTTATTGTGAGGATAGCTCACAAATGCATCAAGCTGCCACTGCAAATATGAGTGACTTAGTGTATGTCAGTTGTGCCTCAATAAAACTGTAAGATTATAATATAAAGACTTAAGAATTGGAATGGATGGTCTTTATCTCAACTTCATAAAGGCTATGTATGAAAAAACAACCTCCAACATCATACTAAATGGTCAAAAGCTGAAAAACTTCACACTAAAATCAGGAACAAGACAAGGATGTCCACTGTCACCACTCCTGTTCAATATAGTTTTGGAAAGATTAGCCACAGCAATTAGACAAGAGAAAGAAATTAAAGCAATAAAAATAGGAAAGGAAGAAGCTAAATTGCCATTCTTTGCTGATGATATGATACTTCATAGAGAAGACCCAAAAAACTCCACCAAAAGACTTCTAGACTTAATTGACAGATTCAGTAGAGTAGCTGGATACAAGGTTAACTCTCAAAAATCAACAGCCTTCTTGTACACAAACACAGAATCACCATGAGAGAGAAATTAGGGAAGCATTTCCTTTCACAATAGCATCCAAAAAATGAAATATCTAGGAATCAATCTAACAACAAAGGAAGCAAAAGACCTCTACACTGAAAACTACAGCACTTTGAAAAAAGAGATTGAAGAGGATATAAGAAAATGGACAGACATCCTTTGTTCCTGAGTAGGAAGAACCAATATAGTGAAAATGGCCATAATTTCCAAAACTGCTATACAGATTTAATGCAATCTCGATTGAAATCCCAACAGTGTATTTCAATGAACTAGAGAAAACAATACAAAAATTCATTTGGATCCAGAAGAGACCTAGAAAAGGCAACAGACCTATTCTAGGCAACAGAGATATGGCATGGGCAATTTACTATACTACAAAGCCAGTGTGATTAAAAATTTTTTTAAAAAAGCATGGTACTGGCAAAGAAGGCAAAGAAACAGACCTGAGGATCAGTGGAACAGATTAGAAGATGCAGAAACAACTCCACATGTACTCAGCTACCTCATCTTCGACAAAGGAACCAACCATTCTCAAGGGAGGAAAGACAGCCTCTTTAATACATGGAAAAACTGAATTTCAACTTGTCAAAGATTAAAACTAGCCCCCTATCTTTCACCATGCACTAAACTAGAATCCAAGTGGATTAAAGATCTAAATATTAAAACAGAAACACTAAACTTGCTGGAAGATAAGTTAGGTTGAACTCTCAAAGACATTGGCATAGGACTCAGTAGCACGGGGAACTAGCACAAAGAATGACTGGGACCTCATCTTATTAAAAAGCTTCTGAACTGCAAGAAAAACCACCAACAGAGCTGAGACAATGTACAATGTGGGAAAAAGTTTTTACCAGCTGCTCCTCAGACAAGGGACTATTATCTAGAATATATAAAGAACTCAAAAAAATCAGACCCTCCCCCAGTATAAAGAACCAATTCAAAAATGGGCATTTGAAGTGAACAGACATTTCTCAAAGAAAGAAGTAAAAGCAGCAAATAAATATATGAAAAAAATGTTCAAATCACTGGTCATTTGAGAGATGCAGATGAAAACAACACTGAGATTCCACCTCACCCCACAAAGAATGGCTGCAATCAAGAAATCAACCAATAACAAATGCTGGCGGGGCTGTGGGGGAGAAAGGAACCCTTCTCCATTGTTGGTGGGAGTGCAGACTGGTGCAACCACTGTGGAAATCAATATGGAGATACCTCAAAGAACAGGATTAGAGGTCCTATTTGACCCAGCTATTCTCCTGATGAGTATCTTGCCAAAAGAATTAAAAGAATCATACCTCAGTGATGTATGTGCACCCATGTTCGTAGCAGCACAGTTTGTAATAGTAAAACTTGGAAACAGCCTAGTTGCCCATCAAATGGAAACTGTAGTCATATTTTTTAAAATAAAATGGAGTACTACTCAGCCATAAATAATAAGAAACTAGAGACATTTGTAGCTAAGTGGATGCACCTTGAGGACATATTCTTAAGTGAAATTAATATGACACACATGTAAATACTGAGTAGTTTCTCTGGTGTGATAAACTAAAGTGTAAATAAGGAACAAGTGTATAATTGATATGGTATAATAGGAAAAAAGGTCTAAAGGTGTAGGGGAAGTGGGAGGGTAGGGGAAAGAAAAGGGAAAAGAAAAAAATGAGAAAAGGAGAAAATGGAAACAAAGTCTTTGTAAATAGGAAAGGGTGGAGGGGGTGAAAGGAGGGCAGGGGAATGGGGAAAAATAACCAAGATACATCATGGAAAGGTACAGAATCCCAATGATGAATGTAACTGTATTTATACCAGAATGTACCAATTTTTTTAAAAAGCTAAGAAATCATTAAGATGAAAAACTTATTCTACTGGCATCTTTCCAGGAAACTTATCCAGGTGTGTAATTGGGATTATTGGGAACTTTTTTTTTAGGTCTGTTGTTTAGAATGCCCTAAAGCATCAGATATATCAGATGAAAATCTCTCAGTTTCATTATTAACATGCCAAGAACACAAAAAACTCTAATAATAGAATGCTAAATGATTATTAATGGGCACTGAATATTTGAGCATTGTTATGATAAGGGAGTTCCAAAATAATATGGACTATAGTACTTTGTTTCTCTGAGAAGCAACAAATGAAAGTCATCATTTAAAAACTAGAATGCATATAACCTTATGATGAAAAAGTTATTGCTTTTTGGAATATGAATCTAGTTTCTT